ATATATATATGTGTGTGTGTGTATATATGTATATATTATATAATATATTGTTTCAGAAAGGGTAGTATATTCCAAAAATATAAAATTTTTGTATGAAGATAACATAATATTTTAAAAATTTTTTTATTGTAATCATTATTAAATATAGTTTTTATCTTAAGAATAATTATAATATTTGTCACATAACTGTTTAAAATTTTTACGTATATGTGTAAAAATATAGATGAAAAAACTTTAATCATTCGAAAAATTTATTGGAAAAAAAATATAATTATTAATATGAAAACAATCTTACTAAAAACAATTTTTATTTTTTCACTTAAAAACAAATATAACAGAAATAAAATATTATAAACATACTATTACTAACTTACTATTAAAAAAATAAGAGAAAATTTAAAAAAAAATTAATAGTAAAACTCATTTTATTTCTGTTACATAAATTTCTTCTTTCTTGGATACATCATACCTTATAAAATCATCATGTATATGTGTATGTGTGTGTATGTCAGTTTCGTTTAACTGAAAAAAATAAAATATCTTTCAAAAGTTGCTTAGCACAAAGAAATATATTATGTGATATCAATAATTTTTCTAAATGTATAAAGATTAAATGAAGATAAATTTTATTACTTTAAATAAAATTATATAATATTTAATACATTAATCGTTGCAATTTATTCTTTATTTAAAAAATCATTAGTTGAAATTATATTTCAATTTGAAATTTGTAAAATTTATTATAAAATCATGCATAATAATCTCTATTTATTTTGTGTTTTATAAAAATAAATTTTTTTAAAAGTTATCTTCTGAAATGATTTTAAAAAAATAACTATATGATTTTTCAATATAAATAATTTAATTTTTCTTTTGTACGAAAATTACATTTAAAAAGATAAATTAATTTTTATATGCGTGCCTGCGCAGAAAAATTATTAATTCCACACATAATTCCATATATCTCTTTATAACGAATATTTTTGTAAGAATATGTATCATTTTATATCATTCTTTATAAGATATTTAACGTTTCCCAGTTAATTTAAATATTGTATGTGTGTGCGCGCGTGTAAATGATATAAAAATTAGGTATTATGTTACGCAGTTAAAAGATAAATCATAATTCATAATTTATTATAAAATTTTTGTTCCAGTATACGTAAAATATATAACAGTTATTTACAAAATCATTTCGGCCAAAAAGAAAACTTTTTGTAGCTAGTTATTTATCCAAGCTGATCATTTTCAAACAAGATATTACATTTTAAATATGCATTATGTAAAGCAAAATAATTGAAAAGAAGATTTGAAATTAAAAATTTCTGGCAGTTCTTCAAAGAGAAAGATATAACAAAATCAAATAATTACAAATTCTAGCAACAAAACAAAAATATAAAAACACAATTCAAATTTATTTAACTAGCTCAAAAAGATTACAAGAAAAAAACATAACAACAATTATTATGTTATTATTATAGTGATAATAAAATAATAATTACAGTTGAATTTAAATGCTTCAATGTTTTTTAAAATAAAAATAACATTCATTCCTACAAAACGCATATGTATTCATATATATATATATATATGTACATACATATAATTTTCAATATACATACATATATCTGTATGTATACACAAAAATGTGTATATATTATATATATTATATATATTATACATACATACATATATATATATATATATATATATATATATACATGTATGTACATATATATATATGATTTTTTTTATATCTCTAAATATTTCATTCTAATTAATTGATCAAACAATTGTTTTCAAAAAGTTCATATTTTTTGAACACAGTTCACAATTGCTAAACACTTTCACTGTAACAATGACTTTTGCATGTTAAGATTTGTTTGTTATATACTTTCCGTATTTATTAATCCCAAAATTATTTCTTCTATTATTATTTCACTTGAGTCTTAAGATGTTGCAAAAATTCATAATAACTCAAAGAATTTTCAAAACGATCTTCGATTAATCGCTCAACAAAAAGTGTCCTAAAATGACTGTCATCCCTGAAAATTAAAAATTTAAAATTTTTTATTAAATAAATAATTTCGATTAATTAATCTCAGCAAATTAAATTTTTAAGAAGAAATTTTTATTTTTTTATATACTACATCATATTAAAACATCTTCGAAAAAAAGAAATTCAGGATTATGAATAAATTTCATTCTTTACAATGAGATTAGGTTAATTGTTATATGATTTAATATCTTTGGTGTCATGATTTTTTCTTTTTATATATAATTATAACAATTTAAAATATTAACAATTTTTTATTGAATATTTCATATATTTTTTACTATATTTTGAAACATTTTATTTAAAATATAATTCTTTTCTATACATAAAAATAAAAAACTCACCGAATAATTTGTATAGAAGCTGGATAAGGTTTCTCTTCTTGCAAACTAAATACGAAGTTTCGTAACCTTTCGCTTTCTGTTGTTTCAATTTCTGGTAATTCATACTGAAAAAAAAATATTCTTTTTTAGTTTCACTAATGAATTAAATTAAATAGCATTTATTAAGAATAAATTATATAATTTAATTCACTCGTCGATCAATTACGCAATTATATAAATATGAGCTTACGAATTCTTCTGGTATTGATGGAAAAGCAGAAACTCCAAGCACATTACAACAAAACGAAGGATGAATATTTTTGCCGATTAGAATAAATATCTGATCTCCAGTATCCATTAGAAAAGCACCTCTAGAGTCAAGTTTCTCAGCAGAAAGATGCAATCTAGGTGGTTGTGGGCATAATTTACCATCGATATCTTTCGCATTTCGATCTTCAAGTGCATGAATAGGATAAAGATCTGGATAAATCATTTGGATTAATTGAAACAGCGGTATAGTTTTTAACTGACACATAGCAAACACTCGATCATCGAGTCTCGTACTTGTTCCTGATCTGAAAGCAACCTGAAAAGATATTTTTATTTTTTATTTTTATTAAAAATATTAATTAATTTTTATTTAGGATATTAAAAAAATAATAACAATGATAATTATTATGATTATGATAATGATTATATATTACATAATACATTGAAATATTATCAATCATAAATTTGAAAAAAATTTTTTGTAATAAATTCGCATATGTGGAAAATATTAATATATTTTATTTTAAATAACATTAACCAACAATTTTTATGGATAATTCTCACAGAATTTCTCTTACACAACACTTTTAAAAGCGGAATTTACAAAAATCTTTAGCTTATTAAAAAATATATCACAAAATATATTTTATAAAATTGTGCGATTATATATATATATATATATATGGTTTTTTAATTAATACTTACACATTTGAGTAATATATATATATATATATGTTAATAATATATATAAAAATAAGATATTACGAGAAAAGCAGATATAATATACTTTATTATATTAAATTATTTTAAATATATTTTCTCATCATAATTTATATTTATCTTTTTTATATATTATAATATTGAGATAAATATATTTTACACACACGCACGCACGCACGCACCCACCCACACACGCACGCACGCACCCACCCACACACGCACGCACGCACGCACGCACGCACACACGCACGCACGCATAATTATTTCAATTTTTTAACTTTTTATTATAAAAAATGTATATAATAATAAATATAATAAACATTTTTATTCAAAAATGAAAAAAATGAAAAGATAATATTTTTTTTAAATAATCAAAACTACAAAATTTAATATACTTTCTTCTATCTTAAGATTATATAAAATGGTCTAATATGTTTACAATTATCCAATAGATGCTGACCAAAAAATAAATTTAAATACTGGAAAATTTAAATTATTTTTAAATTATTATTATAACATGATTTATATAATATGCAAAGAATATATATTAAAATTGTATAATTCTACATAAATATAATGACATGAAAATTGGTTTTTTAATTAATACTTACACATTTGAGTAAAGCAATAATGTAAAGGGGTAATAGCTTTAAACTTGCTGGAGCAAGAAGTCCACCAGAGGTAGCTGATTGAGACAATTTATAGGCTGATAAAACATCTATGGCCACATTTATTAGAGCATCTCTTGCATCAGATATAGAGGACTGCTGAGATCTGTCTACAGCTATAAATATATAACCAGACACGATTATAAGCATTAAACATTAAAAACGACACAAAGAAAGCAAATATAATTAATTAAACGAATTTAAGAAATTGAAGAAAGAAAATTTAAAGAAAAATTTATTAAAATATAAATTACTCAAAATAAGTTGTTGTTCAAAAACTTTATGTCAATAATTATATTTAAATTTATGATTGTTACTGAATTAGACTTATATATCTCTTCCTATATATGTATATATACATATATATTTTATTTATCATATATATAATTATATTTTAATATTTAAAATTCTAATACACATTTTAGATTAGACAAAATAATATAATAAAGAATATTTAAATAAAAAATATATTTCTAAATACTATGTGAAACTTAAAAATTTGAATCCAAAACAGAAACAAAAAAAGTTATTCTCTCTTTTATGTATTTTCTTCTTACTAATATGCAATATTAATCTTGTAAATATAATATTTTAATATATTAAATCTACCAAAAATAATTAATGAGATTTACATTTTATTTAACTTTTACACAATAATATTTTTTTTTATTTTAATAATAAATATTTCTGAATATATTGTATTAGACAAAAAAAGATAAAATTAAAATAAGAAGAAAAAGAATAAAATTCATAAATATCTAAGAAAAATAAAGGAAAGAATAAGAACAAAAAATATAATTAGTTGAAATAGAAAATAAGAGGCAATAAAATCAAAAAGTTGTGAAGATATTTTATTTGTGAAAAAAACATAAATAAATTTCAAAAAAAAAAAAAATATTAATCAAAATAAAAATATAAAAAATATACAAGACTGTAATATATATAATGTATAACTTACACCAGAATAATTAGAAAAGAACATTAAATAAGAAAATCAAAAAATTATTAGGAT